AGTCTGAATTTGGTTGCAATTTCTTCATCTCACCCTGTCGGTCTTTTAGTTCCATAAAAATATTTTTGAAATACAGTGTTGCCCATATTCGACGGACCTTTGGGCCCATTCCAATCGACGAGGCTTGTCCGCAGGCAACATTCTTTGCGTCAATTGAATTTTGTACGGGAAAAAATGCAAATCAATGACAATAGTCCGTTGTAAAGTGGATCGAGCCATGCCCAACTGCTGAGAACGGCGTTTTTGGGATGTTCTTGGGGACCTCTCAACACTGGCTCGTACGGCAGCGATATTCTCGGCCGATCGCCTTGGTCGACTTTTATATGGCCTCTTCGGATTAGAAAGAGCCTTACCAGTCGAAAATGTTTCGTATAAACGCTTAATGGTGTTCTTAGAAGGCGCACTTCTCACATTTTTTAATGTTTTAAAGGAATGTTGAGTTTTCACAATTGACTTCTTCTGTTGAATGTAAATTTCAACTATTTCAGAGCGCTCGCGTGGCGTGTATTGGTTCATGGTAAAAATCTGCTTGGACTGACGCTTCAAACGCGGTATGTCATTAAGCGATGTGACATCTCTGTCAAAAGTTATGGCGTTGCCAAATGGGTCAGTCGAATATGGGCAACCCTGTACTTCGTAATTTTAAACTTTCACAAAAGTTTCACAATTATAGTTTTTAAAACGATCCTCTTAAAATTTTTGGGGAATATGGGCATTTTTGTTCTTCAACAAGTATTTCTAAAACTTTCATAGTTACAACCTTAAGCCTCAAAATTATTGTTTAAAATTTAATTTTTCTTTCTCAACTTTCATTAAATTAAACTCTTTAAAATTAATGTTCCTTTAAAAAATAATACCCGTCCTTTTTAAGGATTGTTTGAAAATCAAATAAAAAAATAAATCATCACTCATTAAGCGCCATCAAACCATAAAAAATTATAAACATATTTGGTCATTTATCATATTTTTCCATGCCGACGTTTGTGTGTATTAAATCAGTTAATTAATACACAAAAATGGAATAAAGTAAAAACCCTTTTTAAAAAATAAGCAAATATTTCCACAACCACAAGACGTCATTAAAAGTTTTTTTTTGTGCCCAACTGTCAATGACAATCAAATAAAGTGCTCCACGCACACACCTCCTCTGCCACCTCAGCTAAAAATGTAAACAATAGATGTTGTTTTTATAATATTTCCAAACAAAAATATCTGCCTTTTTTCCCAACAACAGCATCAACCTCGTCGTCATCGTCATCATCATCATCTCATTTTCTATTCTCCAGTCATTATAGTAGTAGACCTCTAATTGGGGACATAAGTACGGACGTATCCTTCAACCAACCAACAACCACAAACAAACTTAGAGCCTCTATGCCTCTTCCATTGTCTGTTTGGGGAGAAAACAGAAAAAAGATAAATAACGCCGTCCCAACCCATGAAATGGAAACAAAAACAAATTTCTATGCAACCGCAACAAAGAGATCGGCATCCATTTGACCACTCTGCCATAATGACAGAAAAAAACGTGTTTTGTTGGCTTTGTTATTTCTTGGGAAAATAGAACTATGGAACTCTGCGTTGTCGTTCCTCGTTTTAGCCTCCTATTAAAATTTGAAAATTAGACAAATGAAAGAACTATTATCGAAAGGGATCAATCAAATATTGCAGCAAATTTAATATGAAAACTCTGTGATTACATTACACTGTGCGACAATATTCATTTTTTCTCATAATTACAGGAAAATTCCATTAGATTATGGAAGAAGAGCTAAGAATGGAAGACACGTGTATCTGCGTTTTAAAAGTTTATATTGTAACATTATTTTTAAAGGAAGGAGACCGTTCCACTTGTACAAAATTTTTGGAAGTTTTCGGTTTTCTCCGCCAATTATATTGAAAACCATATGAGGAATAGTTTTGGTCGAAATTTTTCACCCTCAAAGGTGTCGTTTTGGTTCATCTTTCAAAAATAATTTACCAACTTATTTGTCATAAAAAATCGCAATATTTCTGTTTGTGCTAGGTCAGGTGCGAAAAAAATGGCTAACTCCATAAAGTACATCCTCCACAAAGGGTTAAAATTTGGAATAATTATAACTCTTATTAAATGTAAAATAAGGGTTCGATTGTCTTCAAATTTATCACATCCCAATATTCCACCTACACAAGATCTGGTCTGAATATGGGATATATCGGTCCACTAATTTTGGTAACTTCCACACGAAGAGTAAAAATTTTGAATGATTATATCAGCCATAAATGTGAAATAAGCACAGGATTTTCTTCAATTTGCACACATCACAATATTTTTATTAACACAAGATATGTTGTGAATATGGTACATACCGTCCTAAATTTCCTCTGGTACCTTCCCCCCAAAAGGTTATTATATATTGAAATTGGAGATGATCGGTCAAAATTTAGATATAGCTCCCATATATATCTTCGTCCGATTTGCCCCTTTTTGTGCACCAAACTTCTAATATTTGCCCAAATAGTATTAAATTTTGCACATACAACCAAATTAGGCCCGAAAATAAGTATGCCAAATTTGATTGAAATCGGTTCAGATATAGCTATAGCTCCCATATATATTGTTCATCCGATTTGTTATTTTTGTTCTCCGCAGCCGTAATATGCACTCTGTAACAACAATATTTGGGGAAAAATATCAAATGCAGCTCAGAAATACCTTTGCTAAATTTTATCGAGATCGGTTCAGATTTGGATATAGCTCCTATATTTAACTTCGTCCGATTTACCCTTTTTTGTGCACCAAACGTGTAATATTTGTCCAAATGTGATAGAATTTGACACTTACGACCGAATTTGGTAAAGTTCAGATATAGCTATAGCTTCCATATATAATGTTCATCCGATTTGTTATATTTGTTACCCACAGCCGTAATATTCACTAACAAAGATTTTCAGGGAAATATATCAAATACCACTCAGAACTCTCTTTGCCAAATTTTATCGAGATCGGTTCCGATTTGGATATAGCTCCCATATATATCTTTAACCGATTTCCAATTAATTGTGCACCAAATGGGCAATACAAGTCCGAATTTAAAAGATATAAATGCTTCGGCATATTGAGACTAATGAACTTTAAATTATAATTATAATCGTAGCGTGTATGATTGAACTCTCCCATAAAAACTTTTAATTGTTATGTGGAGCTCTACTAAATTAGCAAAGTGTTGTAGGGTATTATAAAGTCGGCCCCGCCCGACTTTAAGACTTTCTTTACTGGTTAATACTTTTAACCATAACAACAGCGATTTTCATCAAACGTGGATTTAAAAATTTTTGTTAACCATAGATCTAACAGACATTTCGGTCCACATCCAGTCTCATAGCCACATGTCGGTTCAGTTCGGTCGGACCAAATCGAACGACTGTGGAAAAAAAATTTTCCAAAAATAAATCCGTTAACAATTCTATTAAAATCTTGGATGTGCATAGGCAACTTTTGTCACAGCCATTATAGTATTCAAATACGAAACTTGAAGCAATTCCGGCGAATAACGTCACAAAAACATCAAAATGCCGAATATAGGGAGGTACCGTTGTAGGGACCTATATACAAGACTGAATGTCGCTGAAATCAGCAAATACCGAATACAGGGAAACACCGATATATGGGGGGTATACAAAGACCTGGAACAAATCTAAACGTATTCTAAAATTTGATGCTATTTTCGACATTTTTTGCATTTATTCGATAAAATTAAAAAAAGTAAAAATTATGGTGTTTAGCTTTGTTGCATTTTTTTATCTCCCCCGTATATGGTCAACAATATTATGCAGGGAGAGATTTTGTCAGTTCTGAACTCAAAATGTCAAGTAACTCATGAATGGGTTTAAAATTATTTTAGAAACCTTCAAAATATCGAAAATTAGGAGGTACAGTAAAATGGGGTCTATGCCAAATAGAGAAGCAACCTTAAGCAAGGAGGGATTATATCTACTCCGAACTCTGAAAAACATTCAAAACATTCAAAAATACCGATAATCAGGAAATAACGCTATACGGGGCCTTGCCGAAACGTGAACCAATATGTCCCTTTTTTAATACCAAACATACTAGGGGTAATATAAATGTGTGAGCAAAATTTCAAAGCGATAGAATGTTTCTCTGAATTAATATCCGTTTTTGGGAATCTCACCCCACTGTGCGAACACAAAAGAATATTTAAGGGAAAATTAATAATAATAATATTTTTTTTTTTTTTTTTTTTGTATTCTACAATGTATTTCAATTGTTTTCTTACACGAATGTTCTCCAAAAATTATTAATGAAGCTAAAAAAAAAAAGAAATAATAGTGTTAAGGCCGATTTGTTGACCATTTAATGGGCTACGAAAAATTGACTGGTTAGGGGACTCTTGTTCTTGAGTTGTCCTTAAAGTTTAGCCCTCAAAAGTGTTTAAATATTTATGACTTTCTGTCTTTTAAACAAGATTCAGACTTTTGATATTTTTGCTTGCTACGATTCCGTATTATTATCACTAATACTGCCGAGGACACTGTGTACCTAAAATGCTCGGATTCCAATGAATTTTAATACGAAAACTTCAAATAAACTGATGCCGGGGAACTTTGCGATGTTAAATTTTAAAATTTTTTGTTAAATTTTCTTCTAATCTGCTGAATTTTTTTCTGCATTTATATTTTGTGTGCAACCGTGAAATCGATGGTATTCCCAATCACACACCTAAGAAAATGATTTTTAATGTGTCTTTCAACATTTTAGCAATCTGTGTTAAAATCTTTATGTATTACAACTGAATCAGTTTTTAAATACAGCGCCCCAACTCAAGTCACTTTTAAACTATTTTGTTTAAATTTAACCTTTTTTTCGATTTACAAATGTTTATCGCAGATGTTTACAGTCATGCAATCCTTCTTCTTTTCAATAATTGCCCTCTTTTCCTCTTTCTGTCAATCTTCTTATTTTCATACTCGTATATTTTTCTCGTTTTTACTTTCAGTGAATTTATCAATAGCCGATGCAATGGTGTCGAGCCTTAATGTCACGTTCAGTTATATTTACATGCTGGACAATAATTGGGCTTTCGGACAGCTGTACTGTAAAATATCGCAATTTATTGCAACTCTCAGCATAAGTGCATCGGTATTCACTCTGATGGCGATATCAATCGATAGGTAAGTGAATTATTTAAATTAAATTTTTATGTTACACCGAGAGGTAAGCGTGATGCAGTGCATCAATAGCAGAAGCAGCAGCAACAGCAGAACAGTAGAAGTGACTATAAATAAAATTGACGAAAAAGTGTATGTACACTTTAATTATTATGGCTGCAGTTGAGAATTAAATTTACAGATTGACCAAGTGAAAACCAATAAGTTCCGCCGCGCCGAACTTTTTACTCCCTCCACCATTGGGTAAATAAAACATTTTTATATAAAAGTATATGAATTCAAACGTGTTCCACTTTAAACAACAAATACCAAATGTTATTAAACTTTCCAAAAAATCATAAAGCGTGAGAGGCCGTTATATAGGGGCCATATCAAAACCTGGAACCTCTATAGACAATTTATACTTCAAGGATTGTCATCTACAAAATCGACTAAAATACCAAATTTGAAACAACGTGGAAAACGTGGATATAAATATTCAATGTTCTGCCACCGGAGCTAAATACTGAATGTCTAGAGGTACCACTATGTGGGAGCTATACGAAAACGTGGACCTATACATACTACATTCCGCCACAGGAGCTAGAATCCATAACGAACTACAAATGCACTTTTTTTAGACAAATCGGCCGAAAAATAGGGCAAAAATCATAAAAACACCGAAAATGCAACAAACTTCAGACTGCTGTCATTTCCAAGCCACTCGTCCGACAGCTGTTAAAATTATTCCAGTGACAGCTCATTATATTGTTGACAAGGGTACAAAAGCATTTTGGTGAGAATTTTGCAGAAAAAAGTTATTCGTGATGGAATTCAAGCGTGATAGTTTGATTTCTTTATATTTAGCTGGAAAATCACAACTGGCTTTCGTTAGAGCACTCCAGCATTTTAATGTGAATAAATCTTTTGTGTCTCGAGCCATCGCACGTTACTGTGATACTGGTACTGGTAGCGTAGCCCGACGTCAATGAAGTGAACGGAAGAAAACAGCAACATCAGCAGAAATGGTTTAAAAAATAAAAAAGCGACCTTATCGAAACCCGCGTGGCAGTGGCCCAAAAATGGCTCGTGAGCTGAACATATGGCAATATTCCATTCGCAAATATTGAAAAATGAACTCGGGGTAAAGCCATTGAAATACCAAAAAATGCAAGAACTTACGCCGCAACGGAAAGAAAATAGACTTGCCGAATTTGGTTTTCTCCGATGAGAAAACATTCGTTGTCCAGCAGTTTGTAAACAAACAAAATGATCGTGTTTACTTGCCAACGAGATCTGCTAAAAATGAGCACCTTCGGTTGGCCACCAGAACTCAAGCGCCGGCCATGGTGATGGTTTGGGCCGCCATAACAGCCGATGTTTATCGACCGTGGCATCAGAATAAATGCCGAATATTATCTATTATGGAGGGTGTATTAGAGCCTTGGGCTCGCAAACATTTTGGCCGCAGACCTAGGACATTCCAACAGGACTCAGCACGCGCTACTCAAAAATGGTTACAAAATGAGGTTCCTGGCTTCATTTCCAACGCACAAAGGGCACCAAAACCTCCGGATACCAATCCGTTGGACTATTGTGTCTGGAGTATTTTGGAAAGCAAGGTTGGCCCTAAAAAATACCAAAATGTCGATCACCTCAAGCAAGCGCTTCGCCAGGAATGGGCCAAAATATTGGCCGTTTGAAGGCCATAATTCGTGCCAAAGGTGACTAATTCGAACAAATCTAAACTGATTCTGAAATTTGATGCAATTTACGACATTTTTGCTTTGATTCAATAAAATTATAAAAAAAATGTAAAAATTGTGGCATTTGACTTTTTTGTAGTTTTTTTACCTCACCCTGTTCATACTATGTTCCGACACAGGAGCTAGAACCCATTACGAACTACAAACTCAATTTTTTTGACAAATTGGTGAAAAAATATGGCAAAAATCATCAAAACACCGAAAATTGAGAGATACCGTTACCATGGACCTATATATACTATGTTCCGCCAACGGAGGTAGAACCCATTACAAACTACAAATACCAATTTTTGGACAAATTGGTGGAAAAATGTGCCAAAAATCATCAAAACGCCGAATATCGAGAGGTATGTGGGGGCTATACAAAAACGCGAACCTTGTCCAAATTCATCAAAATACCGAATATTTGGCGGCTATACCAAAACGTGGACAGATATGTCACATTTTCAATACCAACCATCCTAGATACAATACAAATTATTCTGCCAAATTTCTCTCTACGTCAAATAATGTGGTCTGTATCGTGATTTCAACAGATAGACATACAGACCGACTGACGTCGTAAAATCGACTTAGAATTTTATGCTGATCATGAATATATATACTATAATAATAATAATAATAATAATAATAATAATAATAATAATAATAATAATAATAATAATAATAATAATAATAATAATAATAATAATAATAATAACAATGATAATAATAATAATAACAATAATAATAATAACAATAATAATAATAACAATAATAATAATAATAATAATAATAATAATAATAATAATAATAATAATAATAATAATAAAAATACTAATAAAAAAATAATAATGATAATAATAATAATAATAATAATAATAATAATAATAATAATAATAATAATAATAATAATAATAATAATAATAACAATAATAATAATAATAATAAAAATCTGCTAAAAATGACCACCTTCGGTCATTTATAATAATAATAATAATAATAATAATAATAACAATAATAATATTAATAATAATAATAATAATAATAATAATAATAATAATAATAATAATAATAATAATAATAATAATAAACCTCACAGCTTATATTGGGGGTAATGCCTATTTTATCACAGGCCTTGAAAGGCCTGATGTTAAAACACAAAGTCTCTTTTTATCTCTGATTCTTTCATTTCACAACAGAAGTTTAACTTAGCAATTCTGCACCTCAGCTACCTTTTCTCATGCCCCTTTCTTTCCACGTAAAAATCTCCATTTGTTTAATCATCAACCAACATTGGAGAGTATGACTTTTTTTCTTCTTGTTCTTCGCCTCCCTGTAATTGATTCCACTTAAAGCTAGCGGATATGTTCGACAATCCTGTATGAAGTGCTTTACGTATTTCATTGAACAAAGTTGTGAGAAAGAACACGCACCACAGTTTCGAGTGGATCGAGTTTTCATCCTACTCGTGAAACAAAAGCTAACAAGCAGACAGAAAAAAAGCAACTACACGCTTTTATGGATTTAGTTATTAAACTCAAGCTTCATCATAAACTGCTTCACAACAACTACAAAGTTGGGAAAACTCAAATATTTTTGTTTGATTTTTTTGTGTCGGAAACTTTGTTTGCGGCTCATTAACAAATGTTTACATGAGTACTAAAGTTTAGTGAGTGTGGCAATTGACGACGGGGAGAAATGGGTACTAAAACATTGTAACGCCCATAAATCACGTCGTATTTATAAACTTTGTATCGATTAAGAGTTGCTTTCCTATGATACACTTTAATAGAGACATTTATAATGTCAGAGGGCATAGAGGGGACCCCATTGACGTGAAAGTTTGTATTCTTAAATTGAAGTGTTTCCGACATACTTATAAGGAAGGCTGTTTTTGATTTGTCGAGCCTGTAATTAACCCATACAAGGGCTAAGCGATAATTGTATATTTAATACATATTAGCTTTCTTTGGCTAGCGGAAAATTCATTAAAAGCTGAGTCCAGAGCTTTTTAAAAAGTCTATGAATTTTAAAACTTCCCTCGTTATACCCTCAACCACGAAAGGGAGGTGTCACTCCGTTTGTAACATCCCTAACTATTCGTCATAGAACCTAAAACGTACCTACAGGGTGAGATGAAAAATCTGCAACCAATTTCAGACTGTTGTCATCTCTAATCCTCTCGTCCGACAGCTGTTAAAATTATTCCAGTGATAGTTCATTATATTGTTTATAAGCGTACAAAAGCATTTTGGTGAGAATTTACCAGAAAAAAAATTATCCGAGGAGGAATTCAAGCGTGATAGCGTGATTTCTTTATATTTGACTGGAAAACCACAAGTGGCTATCGTTAGAGCACTCCAGCATTTAAATGTCAATACATCTTTTGTGTCTCGTACCATCGCTCGTTACCGTGATACTGGTAGCGTAGCCCGACGTCAAGAATGTGGATGGAAGAAAACAGCAACATCGAAGAGTAAAAAAGCGACTTTATCGAAACCCGCTTCGCAGTGGCCGAAAAATGGCTTGTGAGCTGAACATATCGCAATATTCCATTCCTCAAATATTGAACAATGAACTCGAGGTAAAGCCATTGAAATTCCCAAAAGTGCCAGAACTTACACCGCAACAGAAAGAAAATAGACTCAAAAGAGTTGCTTTGCTTAGCCGAAAGTGGTGAACTGCCGAATTTGGTTTTCTCAGATGAGAAAACAAAATGATGGTGTTTACTTGAGGTCACTGAAAATGTGCACCTTCGGTTGACCACCAGAACTCAAGCGCCAGCCATGATGATGGTGTGGGCCGCCATAACAGCCGATGGTCGCTCTCCCTTGTATTAATCTACCATGGCATCAGAATAAATGCCGAATATTATCGTGAAAATATTCTGGAGGGTGTATTGAAGCCTTGGGCACGCAAACATTTTGCCCGTAGACCTCGGACATTCCAACAGAACTCAGCACTCAGCACGCGCCACCCAAGAATGGTTACAAAATGAGGTTCCTCGCTTAATTTCCAGCGCACAATGACAGCGCCACCAAAATCTCCGGATACCAATTCGTTGGACTATTGCGTCTGGAGTATTTTAGAAAGCAAGGTTGGCACTAAAAAATACCAAAGTGTCGATCACCACAAGCAAGCGCTTCGCCGGGAATGGGCCAAAATACCGCAGAGCAACATTTGGGCAGTGTGTGACGGTTTCATTGGCCGTTTAAAGGCCATGATTCGTGCCAAAGGTGACCAATTCACACAAATCTAAACTTATTCTAAAATTTAATGTTATTTCCGACATTTTTTGGTTTCATTCAATAAAATTTAAAAATTGTGGCGTTTGAATTTATTGCAGTTTTTTTAGCTCACCCTGTATACATATATATATGGTGACTTATATTGATGAGGAATAATTTTGTATTTGAAATTATCCTTAAATAATGATGCTTTGTAGAAGAATTTTGTAAGATGATGTTTTGCTTAAACAGTTCTTTGCGAATTACTAGCGTTTGGGTAAGATTCAGATTTTTAATAAAGACTAGGATCTTAAGTAGAATCATATGGGGGCTTTTACTAAAATGTTAACAAAATTTGAAAAAAGGACAAAAATGGTATCCTTAGTGGCTCGCTTCAGATTTAATTTTTTTAACAAAACAATTCTCGTATTGGTATCAGTTATATAGCCCAGAACACTATATACCTCAATTTCAAGGATTCCAAGGAATTCAAATCCGATAATTGCAAAAGTATAATTCCTGCAAACTTTCAAACCGTATCGGCGGTCTTCTATTTTTAGTATAGTTTTTTTAGTATAAACATTGAATTTTTTTGCTCAAAATTAAAAAACAAGCAAGAAAGGGCTATAGTCGTGCGGGGCCGACTATGTTATACCCTACAACACAACAATATGTTAGAAGCCACCTTATTTCCAAATCCATATTGGAAGATTTCGCTTTTGAAATTAGGATTTTGACTAGGGAAATTTGCCCAACATTTATGCACTCCGTCGGCCGGTTAGTTGTTGTAGTCCATTTTACAGATAAATATAATCAAATGGTCATCCAAAATGCTAGAATTCTTCCCTGTCCTTAACTCTCTTCAAAGGTGTGTTGATTGGCTTCAATTGCATGATCGGAAAAACATTTCTGTTTTTGGTTAATTTGAACCCCTAAATATTTTGCAATCATCTCCAAAATCAAGAAGTCCCTCTGTATCTCCAAATTTAGACTCATCTATATGATTTGCTTGTCTACGATATTTGGCTATATTCGTCAATGAAATCAGCATAAAAAAACCAGAAATTCGCCTTTTGTGTATTTCGTAATGTAATGTTGGTATTTTTTCACACAATATTAGTGGTCCATTGTACCCGCTGTCCTAACTCTAACTTTATGCGAGATTTTGTGTCCTTTGGTTTCTATTTGTGACCTTTATAACGGCTGCAAAATCAGGAAAATTTTCATTGTTGGTCCATTTCAACCCCCTAATATATTGCGGACATCTTTGAAAACAATAGGCCTAGCCCTTCTGAGCCCAACCCTATACGGACGATATTTGCAATACTTATATAATATCCCCAACCTGTGTTGTAAGGTGACAAATATTACAAAATATTATAATTTTTTAGATTTTATACTTTTATGTCAAGAGGGCATTCTGAATTGACAAAATTTGTCAAAATCGGTCCAGCCATTCTTGAGATATAAGCATTCTAACTAACATCCCCTTCCCTACACATTGTATATATTTCGCTATATATAACCGATATATTTACTATTGGCATCTACGTAACGGTCAGAATTGACCAGTTCGTCCATTTTGTGATTTCGCCGGGATTAAAAATATTCGGGGTTTAATGGAAAATTTGACTTTTATTTAACACAAATGTTGTGGCCTATTTCACCCACTAAATATTACCCGATGACCATCAAAATTGGAAGGCTTCTGCCCAGACCTAAGATCTAGCCCCATGCTAACTTCCGCTTTCAGTGGTCTATAGTTGCGACCTGTAGAGCAACTGCAAAATTAAGAATTTTTTCAGTTTTAAGTCCATTTCAACCCCTAAATATTATGCGATCATCTCCAGAAGAAATAAGGTTCTATTCTGACCCAGCCTCACCTCCATTCTAAATTTCGTGAAGATCGGGCCGCAAATATACCTGTAGAGTGATTACAAATTAACATGGACAGACGGACGGACGGACATACATAGCTAGATCGACTCAGCTCGGCGAGATAGGAAGATCCATATATACTTTCCTATGTGGGAAACCAATATTTCGTAGTGTTACATAATTTTTGGCCCAATCAAACTTATAATATCCCCAACACATAGTGTTGTAGGGTATAAATAGATGAAGAATTTTAAATAATAACGTTTTTGTACTAACGGATTATACTCCTACTTTTCTGAAAATACAACCACGCGAAGTTAATTTATTCCCGAATAATTAAAAACTTTTTGTGATGTTGGGAAAAAAGGGTAACAAAATGGTCCACACCCAATCTTTTAAAAAAAATCTCAGTTACAAAAATAAAAACGTACTCTCCTAATTAAATTTTGATTTAATTAATGCATTTTTCCCAAGTTGTGTTAATTAGCCCCCAAATTTCAACGAAGGCCAGCCTTTATTTTTTCGATGTCAATAAATTTTGCAGCTTGATGGAAAAACCTAAAACAATTTCCCAGAAGATAACACGAAAATAGCTTTATGTTATTATTGAATTATTAAATTCCATTTAAAAAAGGCGAAACCAGCTGCTGCGGCTGCTACCTTTCTATGAAATCTACCACACAAAAAAAAGTCAAAAGTTAATTTTCCCCTCGGAAAACCAAAATCCGACTCACAAAACAAAAAAAATAAAAAAACACGAGAACAGAAAATCCTTAATCTAACTTTTTCCAACTCGATGGAAATTTATTGGATGGACTTTTCAATGACTTTTATCAACTTGAATTTTCACTGCTGCTGTTGCCGTTTCAGTTATTTAAAGCCAGCTTCAAGTTTTGGTGTTTTTTCTTTCATTATTATTTTTTTTTTTTTTATTTTCGACCACTAAGAAGAGATTCATGGAGTGTCCTTAACAACCAACGTGTTGTTATTGTTGCTGCTATTTTTTTGCTGTCTTTCTTTCCAGGTATGTGGCCATAATGAAGCCTTTGAAACCACGTATGAGCAAACGCAGTAATTTGGGTATTGCCGCCGTTATCTGGATAGCCTCGGCCATAATATCGTGTCCCATGCTCTTGTTCTACACCACCGAGGATATTTCCAGCAAGGATGGCATACGGACGGTTTGCTTTCCTGAATGGCCGGATGGTACAATGAATCATTCCAACCAAGAGTACATGTAAGTATGATGACGATGTTGATGCTAAAAAACCAGAAAAAGATTAATTGGGTTTGATGTGATGTTTTTGCGGTTGGTTGGCGGGGGGGTGTCTTGATTGGATATGTTTGTGGGAGGATAGCCGGGCGTGAGAACATGACAAAGAAGACGCATTCAAATTTTAAAAATCCATTAATTGTTGGTAACGAATGTAAACAACCACGAACGTTAAAAGAGTGTTCATTAATTCGGCTTCCAAATGGAGGGAATGGATGGAGAATGAAGTGAAAGGAGGGCTTCAAGGAATTTCAATTTTTTATTTTTTTTTTTGTGGATGTCGTAATGGATTTTGTAAGATTTTTTCAAAGACCATCTTAATTTTTTTAAACATCATTTTTTATAAAAAAGAGAGTTTTTGAAAAATTCGAAGGAAAATAATATCATAGACCATAGTCATGCCTCTTATAGAGAATTTTAAATATTGTCTAAGACCATATACAAATGTAACCCGTAAGGAAATGCGTACTATGCGTATTCAGTCAGGCTCCCGTAACAAAAAAGTATATATTGGGAATTTATGTGAAGTAGATCATAACAACTATGAACCTTATTTGAATGCGTACCATGGCTTTAAAGTAGTCACAATTTGGAAACTATATCGAACTCTGAATCGATGTTCAACAAATTAGATTGAGGCTTTTTGTAACGCTAGTACCAAATAACTTTGCTGTTTTTATATAATTCTTATCGAAGTCATATAGTGCATGATATGACTTCGATAAGAATTATATTTAAAGAAGTAAAAAAACTGTAAGTTCGGCTGGACCGAACTTTGAATTTGGAAAGAATTTGACAATTTAAAAAAATAATAATGCGTTCAAAATTCTGTTAAAATCTTAAATACAGGGTTGCCCATATTCGACGGACCCATCTGGCAACGCCATAACTTTTGACAGAGATGTCACATCGCTTAATAACACACCGCGTTTGAAGCGTCAGTCCAAGCAGATTTTTACCATGAACCAATACACACCACGCGAGCGCTCTGAAATAGTTGAAATTTATATTCAACAGAAGAAGTCAATTGTGAAAACTCAACGTGCTTTTAAAACATTAAAAAATGTGAGAAGTGCGCCTTCTAAGAACACCATTAAGCGTTTATACGAAAAATTTTCGACTGGTAACGCTCTTTCTAATCCGAAGAGGCCAAAAAAAGTCGACCAAGGCGATCGGCCGAGAATATCGCTGCCGTACGAGCCAGTGTTGAGAGGTCCCCAAGAACATCCCAAAAACGCCATTCTCTGCAGTTGGGCATGGCTCGGTCCACTTTACAACGGATTATTCGCATTGATTTGCATTTGTTCCCGTACAAAATTCAATTGATACAAAGAAAGTTGCCTGCGGACAAGCCTCGTCGATTGGAATGGGCCCAAAGAGTCATCGAAATGGCCGAAGATGACGAGCAATTTTGGAACAAAATTATCATGTCCGATGAAGCCCATTTCACATTGAATGGGACCGTAAATAAGCAAAATTGCCGTTTTTACGCCACTGAAAATCCTCAGGAGATTCAAGAAGTGCCTCTTCATGACGAAAAAGTCACAGTTTGGTGCGGCGTTAATGCGAAAACGGTCATTGGGCCGTTTTTCTTCTAAAATGAAAATGGCCATGCTGTTACCATCAATCAGGAGCGTTATCGCGACATGATGACCAATTTTGTGATGCCAATTATTCGTCGAAAGCGTATGAGGCAGTTCTGGTTTCAACAAGACGGCGCTCCACCGCACACAAGTCGCATAACAATCGATTTTCTGAAGAATTTGTTTCCGGGCCGTTCGCCCGATTTGACGCCGCCTGAGTTCTTCTTGTGGGGATATTTGAAGTCAAAAGTTTACGTTAACAAGCCAAGGACCGTAGAAGAGCTCAAGGACAACATTCCTGAAGAAATAGCCGCTATTCCGGCCGAAATGTTGGCAAAAACGATGGAAAATGCAGCAAAAAGGGCACAATACGTCAACAACGCCAGAGGCGGCCATTTGAGAGATATCATATTCAAAAATTGATGTAAACAAATCTACTTGGAACTAAAATATTGAAGCAATAGATACACCGGACCGAGTTTCACCAACTGGAAAAATTCGGTTGAATATGAAAAATCTATCCAATTTGGGTTGATATTATATATTTGGTGGACAATTACCGTAAAATCGGATGAAAATCGATAAAACATGGCAGAGATATTTTCGAGCTGTATCTGATTTGCGGTATCAAATATCCTTGTTGTGGAGTAAATATTACGCATGTATGGGACTTAAAACCCCAAATCGGATGAAACCTATGTATATAGGTTTGTTCACAAAAATACATATATCTGAACCGAATTTCAATAAATTTTCAAGTGATTGTTTCTAGGGTGAATTTAGTCGGAATTGCCAAGATTCAGTTCATTTGAGCTGATCTCGGGTAAAGATATGTATATATCCAAATCTGATCTCCGATCTCGACAAAATTTGACGTATTACGGATGTGAGAGACTCAAACACCAAATCGAATGAAACGTATATATGGGAGCTATAGCTATATCGGAACCTAGTTTCACCAAATTTGATGTACCTTACTTGTTTCTAGAATGAATTTAGTCGGAATTGCCAAGATTCAGTTCATTTGGGCTGATATCAGCAGAGAGCAGAAGTATTACTGGGCTGTATCTGATATATGGTATCAAGTATTCTTGTGGAGTGCATATTACGCATGTGAGAGACTTAAACACCAAATCGGATGAAACTTATATATGGGAGCTATAGCTAACCGATTTTCTCAAAATTGTATGTACTTGCTTCTATTCGAGTCATTTGAAGATATTTATGGGAGCTATATCTAAATTCGAACCGATTCTCGCCAATTTTAATAGGGTTTGTCTTTGGGCCAAATAAATATTGGTTGGAAATTTAATGTCAATCAGTTAATAAATGCGGCCTGCATTTTGTTCACAAAAATACATGGACAGACGGACTGATATGCATAAATCGACTCATAAAGTAATTTCATGAAAATTCTCAAAAGTTACTATGGGTCTATCTCGCTCCCTTCTCCATGTTACAAACAAAAGCACAAATATATAATACCCTTAGGTTATAAAAACCACAATTATGAGATTAAGCCTAACAATTTTGCAATAACAAAATAACTACGGCGTCCCGAACAAAAATGCCAACACTGGTCTGATTTCTTGGATTTATAGGAATTTTTATACCCTCCACCTTGGAAAGAGGGTATATTAACTTTGTCATTCCGTTTGTAACATCTTTAAATATTCGTCGTAGACCCCATAAAGTATATATATCCATAATCAGCATAAAATGTTAAGTCGATTCAACGATTTCTGTCTGTCTGTCTGTTGAAATCACGATACAGACCACATTATTTGACGTAGAGCGCCAAAGCACGTTCTGGTATAGTCCCCATATAACGGTACCTCCCCATATTCGGTATTTTGATGACTTATGCCACATTTTTTTTTTACGGATTTGGCTGAAAATTGGTATTTGTAGGTCATAACGGGTCCCTGTACGTGTGGCAAAACATTGTATGTGTAGGTCCCCGTTTTGGTATAGCCCCCATATAAAGGTACCTCCCGATATTCGGTATTTTGATTATTTTTGCCACATTTTTTCACGGATTTGTCTAAAACTTGGTATTTGTTGGTCATAATGGATTCCAGCTCCGATAGCGAAACATTGCATGTCTAGGTCCACGATTTGGTATAGTCCCCATATAACGTTACCTACCGATATTCGGTATTTTGATGGTTTTTGCCACATTTTTTCACTGATGTGTCTAAAAATTGGTATTTGTGGGTCATAATGGCTCCTAGTTCGTGTGGCGAAACATTGTATGTATAGGTCCACGTTTTGGTATTGTCCCCATATAACGGTACCTCCCAATATTCGGTATTTTGATGGTTTTTGCCACATTTTTTCACTGATGTGTCTAAAAATTGGTATTTGTGGGTCATAATGGGTCCTAGTTCGTGTGGCGAAACATTGTATGTGTAGGTCCACGATTTGGTATAGCCCTATATAACGATACCTCCCGATATTCGGCATTTTAATGTTTTTTCCATATTTCTTTTAATAAATCGACATTGAAAATTTCAGATCTTTATTAAAGTTCTAAGAAGAATAACCTATTCCCTTTAATTAATCCAACCTCAATTAACATTACCCATAATTATGTTAAAAATGCCAACAAACCTCTCACCTTCGCCTATTAATCCAATATGCCTCTTTATGATTCTAATAATAGTCTTAATTGTCTACCAAGAACAATAAAACTTTTCACATAGCTATGTACGATTATGTTGTATATCCACTTTGTCTGAAGATGATTCACAAACAACAAAAGCTCTTTGTAAATATTAGCCGGAAACACTCGTAACTGCAATCAAAGAGCGAGACAGAGAGACCAAAAGAGAGAGAGTGCGACATCAAATGTAATTGATGCCTTTTGTTCGTTGTATGCCGGCATTCATGAATTAATGAACGAATGTTTTGTTCGTTCCATACATCGAGTTGAGTTTAGTCTGACATGTTCGAAACATACACACACACACTCTAATTAGACAGATGTAATGAGCAATTATTACATGCATAAATTCATTTGAAAAGGGATATTCGAAGCAGAAAACAAACAGGCCATACAAAGGCATATTACAATGGTCATGTCTGACGATCGCATGTTAAATTTCGACAGGCGAAAATCTGTTGATGATACCAAAGGTTGTTTTGTAAACGTTGAATATGAAATGAAAAATTAATTTTCTCTTGCAAATATCATAGTTCAAATGACAAGGTTTTTCAAAAACAAAACAAAAATCCAGTCAGGCAATGAAACGTCAGAAGCAATGAAAGCCATACCTTTCCCCCTAAAGGACTTAGAAAATGTGTATGATATATATGTCTAGACTCCAAAATATATTCCCAAAAATAAAATAATATTTCTTTGACATCTTTGAAATATGC